AGCAAGCAGGGTTGTGTCATCTGCATAACAGATTGTTGATGGATCTTCCACCAATCTTGACACCATACTTATCCTCATAGAGCCCAGCCTCCCGGATAATCTCTTCTGCATACAGGTTGAAAAGGTATGGAGACAGGACACATCCCTGGTGTACATCCTTCCCAATTCTGAACCATGCAGTGTTCCCTTGCTCTGTTCTGACTACTGCCTCCTGGTCCAAGTATAGGTTTCACATTAGCTGGGATTCCCATTCTTCTCAGACTCAGCCACAGTTTTTTATGATTCACACAGTCAAACACCTTTGCATAATCAATAAAACACAGATAGATATTCCTCTAGTGTTCCCTGCTTTTAGTAGTTCAGTAGAACTCCTTAAATTCTCCTAACTATAAAAAGACAAGTTTTTGTTATGTGCTGTCAAGTCAGACCCTCCAGTGGGTTTTCAGAGACCATAAATCACACAGGAGGAGACTGCCCATCTTTCTTCAGAACATCTGGTGGATTCAAACCACAGGCATTTGGGATTGCAGCACAGCTTCTTATCACTAGGACACCAGAGCTTCATACAAAGATACGTAGTATCCTTTAAACTAATTTCCATTTTCCCTCCCCTTTCATGATAGCCACTACTACGCTATATTGTGTGTTTTGCTATTGTGAATATTTCATTTAAGTAAATAATAAAATATCCTTTTGTATCTGACTTCTGTCAGTCTTAGCATATTCTAATGTGTATCAGAATGCCATTTCTTTATGTCCTATAATCATTGTATACACATACATTCTGTTTTCCCATTTACTTTTTTAAATTTTATTTTATTTTATTTAATAATTTTAATGAACATTTACAGAGAATTTGGATTTCCATTCATTCATTGCTGCACTTCTCTCCCTGCCCAGCCCTCTCCCCCCGCCCTCCAGTTCGCTCCTCTCTTTCAAAAGTAAAAGAAAGACTCCCTCCCTGGTACACAATCCTCCCGCACCCCTCCCACCGCCCCAAGTACATTCCACTATGCAACCTTAATTGTGGACTCTTGTGTCCATTTACTCTTGATGAACATCTGGGGTGTTTCCATTTCTTAGTTATTGTGAACAGTGCTGCAGTAATCATTGGTGGACCGGGATTTATTTGTGCCCCACTTTCAAGACTTTGGGGTAATATACCCAGGAGTGGCATCACTAGGTAATACAGTCCAACTTTCCATTTAACGGAACACCATCTGGAATTTTCTTATGAACCCATAATGCAGTTGTCCTTGAGCTGAGTACTTTAGATTTGCTAGTTTACTGAGCCTCACATCTCTGGATGGCCATAAGTTAGGTCCTTTTCAAATAAGGAGCAGAATTAGGCATGCATTGGCTTCCAAGTCTTGTCCATTTGGAAAGAGGCACCCAGGGTCTGTTGACTGTTGTACCCCGACTCGACGGTCCGACATAATTGTGACTCGGTAGTTTTCATCAAAAAGTGTTTCTAAGTTAGTTGTTTGGGACTTTGCACACAGCTTTCCTAGGTTTTTGATGATGGTGCTCATCCATAATTCAGTCTATAAAAATTCATTTCAGACTTAATTGAGTTTGAAACATATCCTTGTGCCCTTTTATAAAGAATCTTGTCAGTTCTAACTTGTGATTCTAAGACTCATGGGTGTTGGTGGTAGGCAATGAGTCTGGCAACTGAAAATCCATTAGCTGTTGAGTCCATTTCCAACTCATGATGACTTCGTGAAAGTGAGAGTAGAACGGTGCATTGGAGGGTTTCCAATGGCAGATTTTTCTTCCCCAGGCCTTTCTTCAGTGTACTTCTTGGTGGGACCTAACCTCTAATCCTCTAGCTATCACCTAGCATTATCTGTTTGCTTTATGGGAATGAGAATATGAGTGGGGATAGTTAGCTACAGGTAGGAGGCCTGGGTCAACTTTAAAAGCAGCTGGAGGATCGTGCTGGGAATTCGTGTCTCCAAAATGCTACTTGAATTTACTCAGTTTCTAAACTCATTCTACACTGATGCATAGCTGACAGTCCATTGGGTTTCTGAGGCTGTAAATCACATGCCCATCTTTCTCCTGCAGAGTCACTGGTAGATTCAAGACCAGAGAGGCAAGGCCTTTGGGGTTAGCAGTACAGTTCACTGTGGACTACTCCACCAGCCACTTGAGCTCCGCTACTTTCCAAAGGAAGGAAGAAATTTATACTTAGGGTTGTATCATTCCTAGGACTCCCTCTCAATCCTATTTTATGATTCTTTTCTCTTTGCCATAGGAAGTCCCAGATCCTATAAAGTATTTTGTGACTCGGTGGAGCTCAGACCCATGGATTCAGATGGCATATAGTTTTGTGAAGACTGGTGGGAGTGGTGAGGCCTATGACATCATTGCTGAAGAAATACAAGGAAAAGTCTTTTTTGCTGGTGAGGTATGTATCTTGAGCCCAGCTCAGCCTGTGTCAGTCTGTGTCATGGAGGATTTTTTTCATTTTCACTGTCCTACTTTACCATGATGCCCTTTCCTAGATAAATTCATTCTGATGGCATGTCCAAAGTCAGAATCTTGCCGTCCTAGTGTCTAAGGAATACAGCTCTACTCTCTGCTGTGCCATTGAGCTGGACCAGTGCCTAGCTGACCCTCCAGCAGGTTGCGGAGGCTGTAGACTGCACAGGAGGATTGCCCGTCTTTGATTTTAAACGGCCAGAGAGTCTTGGCCTTTGGCTTAGCAGCACAATTCCTTATAGATGACACTGGACCTTAGTCCTTTTTAACTTTCAGCTTTTCTGGCATTTACATTTTAAACTGCTTTTATTGTCTTTTGATTTCATGAATTTAGACATGATCTGCTCACTTCCTAATATGTTAAATATCCTATTTGATCTCTTCTCACCATTCTATCCTGTGTGGTCTCTTTGCACCATTCTTTCAACATTTTAACTAGACTGCCACCAGTGTTCGTATTATGTGGCTGTGCACATACTGTTAATGGTCTGCTAAGTGCTCTGAGTCCTTTCTGACACAGCTTCTGCTTTCCTGTCAGACAGAACCAGTTGCCATTGACAATCAGTTGGCACTGATTCTTGGGAAAACCCGTGTGTCAGTAGAGCTGTGCTCTGCCAGTTTTCAGTGGCAATTTTTCAGATGTAGGTCATCAGGTCTGTCTTCCAAGATGCCTGTCATGAAAATCAGTTCCACTGAATCAGAACCAACTCAACACTGGTGGGTTTCCGAGGCTGCACAAGGCACAGGAGGAGTCTGCCCATCTTTCTCCCTCTGAACCACTGATGGATTTGGCCTTTAGTTAGCAGCACAGCTCCCTACAGACTCTGCCACCAGAGCTCCCCAAGATGCATCTAGGTGACGTCCAAACACTAGACTGTCAGTTGTAGGTGAATGCTTAGCTGCTGTATCACAAAGGCACCACCCCCCCATTAATTTCTTTTTCACCTTTTCCCGTAATCTTCAGTCTTAATAGCAGAATCCATGAGCTGGTGTGGTTTTCTCTTTTGAAAACCATTGTCCTGGAGCTCTCCTCTTGCAGTCTGGCCCAGCTGGTCTCTGGGATTCCTCTTCACTACTTTCCAGGGTTGTCACGGATGTGAGGTGCTGCCCAGCATTATATCCTCCTTGGACTTGGTGCTGTCCATTGCTGCAGTGCTGTGTCAGCCCATCTCTTTGAGGGCCATCGTCTTTCTCACTGATCTACTTTACTAACCATGACGTCCTTCTCCAGGGAATGGCCAACAGATATGTCCAAAGTCTCTGAGATGAAGTCTCACCATCCCTACTCCAGAGGGGCACTCTTGCTGCAGGTCTGCCAAGACAGACTTGGGTTTTCTCCTGACAATTCATAGGATATTCTTCCACACCATAATTCAGAGGCATCAGTGCTTTTCAGACTTTGATTTCCCAGATCCTTTTTGTTCTTGATTTACATCTTTTTGCCCCCCCCCTTCTTTTATACCTTTTTCAATTTCTTCTAAACTCAGGGTCTTCTTAGAATTTTACTCCTTCTGCTAATCTTTCTTTAGTTTTTCTTTTCTCTCAGTTATATATATTGGGACTACTAGTATCATCACCTGATTTATTGTTTATCTCCTTTTCTTAATCTTTCTGGGAGCTTGCTTTATCTATCTTCCTACCCTGGGCTGACTTTTTTAACTTTTATTAAGTACTAATTTTCAGAACGTTTCTCTTCGCTACCGTCCTCCTCCTGCACTGTAATTTGTTCCTAAACTAATATTTAACACTTTCGTTTTGTTTCTGCAAGAGCTTCAAATAGGTCCACCCTTAGCTGACAAAGCAACACTGCAGTCCTAAATGTCTTAACATTTTAGGTGATTCAGCCCCAGACCAAGAGAGACTTGGCAAAGTTTTAGTGAAGACTCAGAACCTGGAGAAGATTGAATTATTGCATGGACTGTGGACAGTGATGTGTTTAGATGGCACACCATCTGTGAGCTGGGCACCTGTTTTCAATTCAGTTAGTGAGATATGGTTGTTACACAATGCACATGCCCTTGTCTTCGAACTGGGAGATTAGGTTTCTAGCTGGGTTGTGATTTGTAAGTTTTCTATTTTGTTAGCATTCTAGCTCACCCACATTTAAAAAGATTCATGTCAGTTCTCCAGTCACTACTTCAGCCAGAACAAACCAGGATGAACCAACTTAAAGCCCTGGTTTCTAGTTCCTCGCTGAAGTTTCCTGGGGTTTCTGTTGGTCTGTTTCCCAAATGTCCAGATGCTTGCTCCCTTAAGCTTTTGGAAAAAGCCAGTAAGCACTGGCATCCTCATCAGCTGGTATTTCTGTTGAGACCATTCAGCAAGCATCCTTTTTCTCTGGAGCATCCTACACATTCATCTGTAGATTCCCAAAGCTATATAGTTCTCATTTGGGTGGTTTACACACCACCACCTGCCTTTCTAAGACTGATTTTTTTTTAAGAACCTTACTTCTTATGAGACTTAAACCCTATGTTGTTTGGCACTTCACTCCCACCCTCCACCTTACACTCCCATAGAAGGCATGTTGCAGTAGGTGGAAAGGTGACCTCCCCCCATAAGGAACCTACTTCCTCTTTAGTCTTTTAACCATGCATATTTACCCCGTTCAAACCTGCCACCCGTTGTCAGAGAAAGGTGACATTTCCAAGGCTGTTTACAACCTTGTGCATCTGAAGGTCTGCTGAGACAGTTCGAACCTGAAGGCAGTGAGCCTTTGAGATTTTTCAGCAGCATGCCATGCTTTTTAGGGGGCACTTAAGTCTCTAGCCTTTGTTAGCAGCTGACCACGCTGGCCATTTGTCCCACCTAGCATCTTCACAGGAGGCAGTAAGGCACAGCACACCAACCTCTATCTTCAGAGGATCAGGGAAGTGTTTTATCTGAGTGTACATGACCTCAAATTATGCAATTTTTTTTTTCTTACAGGCAACAAACAGGCATTTTCCACAGACTGTTACAGGTGCGTATCTGAGTGGTGTCCGAGAAGCAAGCAAGATTGCGGCGCTATAACAGAATACCTCTGGTGCCTGCTTTCTTCCGTCCTCCAAATGGGAATAATTGGAAATAGTATGCCCCCCTTTTTTTGAGAAGAAAACTTTAGACCACAAACCTACAACATTTTATGATATAATGTGAACATATTTCAAGTCACTCTGAAAGCATTAGCCCTTAAGAACTCTTGTAAGCACTTCTATTTAACTGCATTTTCCACTTAACTGGTCTGACTAGTGGTTAGTCTTCTGGATTCCAGAAGTAAGGCAGAATATAACCTTGAATTAAGACCCTCCCTGGGCATGACTCTTCCAAGTATGGATGTTTTAAGATTTTACATTGTTTGATAAGTTTTCACACATTGAGAAACCAAGTCAAACCATCAGGAAATCAGAACTAGGAAAAGCCATGTCTGTCTGGTTTTTTCCCTATGATAATGCATCAGTATCTTTACCAATGAGCCTTAAGATTTTTATACCGCTCCAATATTGAGCTTTTACATAAATTTATGTAGCGTTTTTGAATACAGTACAAACTGCTTCAGGACAAAAAGAAAAGTGAAGCTTCTAAGCTATTTTATATATATCTGTTCACATTGGGTGTTTAAAAACAACTTAAATTCAGGTACCTTATAAAAGTTTCAATTTGTGCATTCACTAAACTGCAAAATTGTCAATCCTTTAAACAGACTTAAGAATTGTATCACTGAGAGTCGGGGTAGAGACAGTATACTAAAGACAGAGTATGTGCCTATCTTTCATCAAGTCAGATTTGGGTGGATGGCATACTTTGACTATCCTTAACTTTGGCAACCACAAGCAAAAAAATCCTGTCACTTTAACAAAAGCCCCTCCAACTTTCCCTTTTTAAAAGTGGTTCAATTTATAGGAGTAATTTTTATAGTTTTGTTTACAGTATTCCATAGGCAGGTCCATGGAAAAAAGACAGAAAATTATTATATATCCTAATAAATACATTTTTAAAAGCCACATCTTAAGAGCCTAAAAGAACATGGCAAACCTTTTCCTTCTTTCACACAGGACAATATTATTTAACATTTAAAATAAACATTAGTTTCAGGGTCTTCAGGATACATATTTTGCCGAGAAACTTCAAAGTTCCATTTTACAGGCTGTTGGTTACAGAAGTAATTTGAGCTTTTGTTTCAAAATATAAAAGATGTCTTTGAACAATTCTTGTATTGTTCTGCTTTAAAAAGGGATTAAAAATTATTCTAAACCCACTTTTCACATTAGGTATTTTTAAAATTAAAATCTACTTATATTTTATGCAAGGCAGTGTGGTGAACTTTAGAAATGTAGACCTTCCTTTCTCCCCCGTAAGTGATGATACAAACAAACGTAGCCTTATATTAAACTCAGTCAACACAGGTTTAGGTTTATTTAGGTTACTCATGAGACTCATTGGTACTGATTTGGAAGTATTCTGCTTTAAAGTGTTATGTATTAAAATGCTTAAAAAAATAGCATGTGTTAAGTGATAAATGCAAACTATCATGTTAAGTTTGAAATGGTTCACAGTAAGTTATTACTTCAGTCTCTGGGCACTTAAAACCTGTACTGTGCTACAGGCCAACTAAGGAAAACCTAGAATCTCTTTGGTAAATGTATATTTAAAAAACCCTAAAACCTCATTCTTGTTTGAAGTGACAGCATTTTGTTTGACACTTTCTTCTTTAAGGAACTTTGGTACATTATTTTTTAACAGTTTAAATGTTTGGGTTTTTTTTTTTCAATGTTGCCTGAAGACTTTTTCTAATAGCTGTGAACACACAAATTTGTTTTAAATGCAGAGCATGGAGAGCTGATTGTGTAAACAGCTTAATAAAAATTACTTTTTCAATGTACTTTGTGTATTTTAGTAACACTTATTAAATGAGAACTTTCACACATCAAACAATTTAATCCATCCTGTAAAAGCCTAGTGTTTCTTTTAAATAAACCCTTTCTGTGTATTTTGTCTATTTAGTCAGAGGCAATTAGTAGAAGGTCGTGGTTGACCCATGTGAAGAGTAAAGTGGTATAGGAAAGAGGGGGGAAAAGGGCCCTGAGAGACAGTGGGGAAACCAAATTTCTTGAGCATTCGCACACCAGGGGAGAGAGACCTACTCCAGGTGGGCATTTCCTTAATTGGCTCTTACTTTCCTAAGACTGGGTGGTAGCCAGGCTGGGAATGGGGGTACTTCTTGGTATAATCATCTTTTGAAAAGCTTCATTTTTGTCATAGGCATTTCGACTTAACAGTAAATACACCTAACAATATGAATCCTAATCGGTACCTTTGAAATAACTTTGCTTCCATAATTTCTATTAAAGTAAAAATTTTCACTGATAAGTACCTCCAAATCTTAAGACACAGGACTAAATCCATTTAGCTCCCAACAGAAGAACCACCACTATATTTTTTTAAAAACCACCAAAACCTTTCTTGAAAAAATAAATTACAAAACACCAGAACATCATTTACTTTTTTAACATTTATTTTATTGTCAAGATTTATAACAACAAATTAAATATTTAAAATCAAAGGCCAACTCTTAGGTCTTACTTATTCCATTAATTTGTATTACGTATGCGTCCCTCAATATCTTTAATCAAGAAACAAGTCAAGCCTATGAAAGTACCTGTTAACAACCAATACATGAAATTTTGTTCTATGATCCATGTATTTGTATCTTAAACACTCTACTGGTACACCAAAAGGATAATTTTTTCATAAAGATGTTTTTTGTTTTAAAATTCAGATAGCTATATATCAAACTAATTAAGAGAGTCAATATAAAAGATAATATTGGTCTAATTCAGGAGTGTTCACCTAGAATCTTGATTGGCCAAAATATAAAACCTAACAGCCCTGATTCCACAAATACATTAGATTTAATATGAACATTTCCTTTTTAGAAATA